ATCACCGAGAAATCGTCCAAAAAGTACAATTATGGAAAATTGATGACCGACTGCAGTACCTGGCTTCCTATCTGCTTGATGACCGCAAACTCTCCTGCTTTGTTACTCCTCTCCAACTCGTCATGCAATGCAGCTAATGAGTCGACGCAGTTGATCAAAGAGTACAAATTAGCCTGGAACAGAAGAAATCAACAATTTTCATGATTGTTTAACATGTGCAAAAAAACCTTGTGCATTTGCTCATTTTTCTTGGCTTCATCGGCCTTGGCCACTTTCATATTCTCAATAGCTTCGCGTAACTCTTCTATTCTGAAAACAGACACTGACAACCGTGATCTACGGTAAAACATAGTAAGCATGATTATAGAGTAAGCTCGTACGGTACCTGGTAAATAACCAAGGAACAATCAAGAGAGGATATACCAGGAACTTACGGTGTTTCGGAGTGATGTTCCAGCAAATACCATTGTGGATTGAAGCTCTCCATACGAATGTTTCCCGATCCATCGGGAAACATTTTAGATAGAAAAGCCGGGTCCAATTTCTTCGTAGTAGGCTTCAAGCCAAGCGCATCGCGTTCCTCCGTAGTTTGCGCTACTGTTCGTACAGCCTTAATGTCCAATAAGATGTGAAAATCCTACGCCGAGATAAGGATAAATATAAGTAAAATTAACACAAAGTCTCCACTCACTTCCCGCCCAGGCACGGTTTGCGTCTCATCAACCCATACAGCGGACTCTTCTAATGGTCCTACTTGAGCAATAAATACCCTGAAAATTTATGTGGTATAAGCATAACAGAGCGAATGTCTAGAAAGCACATATCAGAAAATCACCTTACCTGAATTTTACATTGCAGATACCCCTTCCACCAGATTTTGTAGCAATCTTAACCTCGCCTAATCCTCGATTAGCCTGCCCCAAACGCGCTACGATCTTCTTCTCTGTCTTCCACCTGACAATGGCAACTTTACAGCTAAACTACAAAAAACAGAAAAGAAAGGAGTTAGCAGCCTACTTTGCAGTTTGCAGACAGTCTGTGCCACAGATGAAGAGCATGAGAAGATCATTTTGATCTGTTCCTAAGTTTTCACCACGAATGGTAATCTGAGTGCCCGGGGTGCCTGAAAAACGATATAAAGATTCAGCTGACGTAGGGTGTAGGTCAAAAATAACGAATTTCAGCATGCCGACCATGAGAAAATAGCTAGAGGCAGTGTCCACCCAAACACCCGATTTTGAGATTTTGTGTTTACCCGGACATATTCGCTATGCCGAATTCGAA